CTTTGAATAGTTTCGATGTACCACTATTCGATTCCTGAAGTGATATTGAAAAATGTCTCTTCGAGGAAAGTGTCTCTTCAAAGAAATTCTTCGTTCGATTTTCGTCTGAATTTCGTCGAGTCGCTGTCCAGCAAGAGAGGGCGGAGGCATCCGCGTTTCTCGCCGTTGTAAAAATCACTGAAGCAGATGTTGGAAACCGGGACACCCGGTATAAGCCGTAGTAGGAGGACGAAGCCAGCACGTTCGTTACGCGGTTCATAATAGCGAGCGTGATGTGGCATCGCGCGGACGTCCGAGCAATAACTCGGCCGGCTCTTAATTACTTTAATTAATTAGGAAACGCGGCTTCGTGGAAGTCCAATCTTATGGCTTCTGCTTGCGCGAGATGCTCGCGTTCTTCCTTGCGTGTATGCGAGCGTGCACGTACGTTTTTACGCGAGCGGCGGCCGCATGTGTGCGAGCGTGAAACAGCTCACGGACAACACGAGCAAGCTGTGTTGCTGAAAGCACCAGCCACCCTCGAAATACCTTCATTAATAATTTCTGCTCGAACGATTGTGCAACAGGACCACGGCGACGTGGAATTGATACTTTTTCTTTTTTCTTTCTTTCTTTCTTTTACCTCGAGAAGGGACTACTGCCTTGTTCCCTCGGAGGTGTTCGTGCGTTTAGTGAGCCATTCGCTATTGTCTGTCGATTCCGCCATTCGCAGGAATGGAGATTGCACGATGGATTAGTGATGAGAACTTGCCGCGGTGTCTAGAAATTCCGCTTTCTGTCGCACGTGACGCGCCTACGAATCTCTATGCTGCCCGTGCTCTTCCGACCTTGAAATTTCCGTCAAGCACTTGCCATTTCCGGTGAGAGCAAAGAGGTTATTCGACGAAAGATGAAAGATGAATCTTCCTTTCGTACGATCGACCTGTTAACACTTTCGTTGATCGAATCGGCAAACAGAGTGTTTTAAAATAATGTGGCATCGTAGGTTCGTAGGGTGACGAGATTTTGGAATTGCTCGCAACTTCTTTCTCGTGGCTCGTACAATTGTTACAACAAAGGTTAAACTTGGGACTTAAAATATGGTCTTGTGAGTGTATCCGAAGAGAATAGCAGATCGCGAGGAGATATAGATTTGATCGAATCGGGAAACAGAGTTATTCGAGTCATAACTATTTCTTATCTTGTCCTGTCCGTTGTTTCTTTAATCATCTGTATCGTTATTATATATTATATATTACGTGTGTAATCTCTACAATAAAGTTTAGGAAGATCCTTCGGTTCCCTGACTGGTTATTGAGACTCATCGACGACGGAGTGACAACCTATTTTCAATTTCATTTTACTTCGTTACCGAGATTCGTCAGGTTACGTCTGTTTCGCGAAAAGAGAGATGCCTCTTAGTCCTCGATTAGCATCGTCTCCGTGTTTCCTGTAGTTTCGAATTCACCGTAAACGATCTCTCGCGGAGACGAAGCGTCGGGGGATCTGGTTGTCGGGTGATTTTCCTTTGGGAACGGAAAGAGAGGGAGACACGGTGGCAATTAGTAAGGTTTCACGGTGGAATCGGTGTTTAACCGAAAACGAAACCGGTTAAGACAGGGGCAACGCCGGGTCCTCGACGACGCGGCGTGCCGCGGCACGGGCGCAATTGAATTAACCTTAAAAGAAATACGCGAGCCGCGGGCTGAGAGGCTGGAGCAAGGGGGAGAGGGAGACGTTGGAGAACGCGGCGAGGGGGAGGGGGAGGGAGGGAGGGACGGCGGAGGGGAAGAGGAATTTTATCACGGACGAAAATACTCCGGAGGAGAAAATCCCGGCGCCGAGGTTACGTTAGGTTAATGCTTGCCCGTGAGGAGGAACGAGGCGAAAGGGCACAAGAGTTAACAGAGTCGTTTCTGTAATTGTGTGGTGGCACACACGAAGGAACAAGGAAGAACCATGGAAACTTCAGCGGGGCCTGGCCGAAGGGTGGGAAGCGAGCGCGAGGAAGGGACATACGCCTCCGTGAATCTCAGCCTGTCTCCATCCCGCGAGAAGGATAAAACCACGCGCTGGTGGAAAGGAGCGCGGAGGCGGCTGGAGAAGGGCGAGAGGATTATTCGGGAGGAAAGAGGACAGGATCGAGCAGTGACTACGAGCGGCTACACGAAGACGACGCGACGACTACCACGACGACGACGACGAGGTGGTAGAACGAGGAGAGAGAAACGAAGAGGAGTTACGTGGAGGGAGAAAGACGGAGAAAATGTGGATGGAATGGAAACGAGGGAAGGTGGAGGTGTGTAGCGAGGCGCACGAGAAAGAGAGAGAGAGAGAAAAGAAGAAGAAGAAGAAGAAGAAGAAGAAGAAGA